TCCCCAAACACAGACTAGGAGTATCTTTAACAACTGCAGCAAGATTAGTACGACTACCACCACCATTCTGACTTGTACAAGCCCACCATTCAAAAAACAGCATAAAATGAAAGTTTACCCTTGAACCTTATGTTGGATTTCATTCCATGGTCATGTCAAAACAAGATAAAAAAAAAATCACCCATCTGATTGCCCAGCTGATCAGCATAGTGGAACGTCTTTTTTTCCATAATACATAGTTACATAGTTACATAGCTGAAAAGAGACTTGCGTCCATCAAGTTCAGCCTTCATCACATTTGTTTTTGCTGTTGATCCAAAAGAAGGCAAAAAACCTGGTCTGAAGTGCTTCCAATTTTGCAAACTAGGAAAAAAATCCATCATGACCCCAAAATAGCATTTAGATGTCTCTTTGGATCAAACAGCTATTACCCCACTAATTAGAAATTATATCCCTGTATGTTATGTTTTTGCAAGTATTTATCCAATTGCAGTTTAAACATCTGTATGGACTCTAATAAATCCACCTCTTCAGGCAGAGAATTCCATATCCTTATTGCTCTTACTGTAAAAAAAAACTTTCTTTGCCTTAGATGAAATCTCCTTTCTTCCAGACTAAATACGTGACCTTGTGTCCTATCTATAGCCCTGTTTATGAATAGATTTCCAGATAATGATTTGTACTGGCCCGAATATATTTGTATAATGTTATCATATCCCCTCTCAGGCGCAGTTTTTCCAAACTAAAGAAATTAAATTTTTTTAACCTTTCTTCGTAACTAAAATGCTCCATTCCTTTTATCAATTTTGTAGCTCATCTCTGCACTTTTTCTAGTTCCATGATATCCTTCTTTAGAACAGGTGCCCAAAATTGCACAGCATATTCAAGGTGTGGTCTTACCAGCGATTTATAAAGAGGCAAAATTATATTTTCATCCCGAGAATTTATGCCCCTATTTATACATGACAAAACCCTACTGGCCTTAGCAACTGCAGATTGACATTGCATATTGCTGCCTAATTTGTTGTCTATAACAATTCCCAAATCATTCTCATGTGTGGTTATCCCTAATTCACTACCATTTAGGGTTTAAATTGCTTGTGTATTTTTGACCCTGAAGTGCATAACCAATGTTCTACCCAAGAGCAAGAATAATCATCTAGACCAATTTCTTTTAGTTTAAAGACTAACCTATTGTGAGGAACCGTACCAAATGCCTTGGCAAAATCCAAGTAGATCACATCCACTGCAACACCCTGATCTATACTTCTACTTACTTCTTCATAGAATGCAATTAGGTTAGTTTGACATGACCTATTATTCATAAAACCCTGCTGATTATTGCTAATAATAAAGTTATTTCCAATTAATTCCTGAATACTATCCCTTAATAGCCCTTCAAATATTTTCCCAGTCACAGAAGTTAAGATCAGTTAAGTTCAGTTAAGAAGTTAAGATGGAGATCTCTCTCTCTCTTTTGCTCCCCAATATGTAATTTCCTTGCAATTCAATTTTAGCAGAAACATAGTCCAACCATGGTACCATTGCTGTCTTGAAGGAGAAGCTAGCTATTCTGTAGGTCAGTGGGTGCACTTCACCACATATTTATGGAGTGTGTCTACAAGCCAGCACGCCATATGACATGGGAGTGGATCTGTAGGGCAGCTGGGCATCAATCTCTCCTGCTAAATGCTGAAGTGATTGACAAAAAGAACACTTCAGGAAACATCTTACAGGCAATCAGATGAATGGTGGAAATCTTGTCAGGAGAGCAGGCAAGTAACAAAGTGCACACTAGGTTTCTGGTCAATGACGGAGCTGCTTAGATGGTTAAATGAAGATGGATCCTTTGTAGGTGTGCTTTGTTCGGCACACATCCTACATATTGAAGTGAAGCCTGAAATCAATTTGTGAAGGCAACGCTGTTGGCAAACATACTCGATCATTGCAGGAGGGTGTCCAACATTTCCACCATAGTGTGTAGGCTTGCCAAATCTTGAGGCAGGGGTAATATGACAGAATATCAGGATGTGATGGAACTCCACTTTAGACAAGCTGAAAAACATTTGGAATAGCAGAGGGCAATCTATAGAATACCTTCTGATGAGTACCTTAGCATTGGTTCCGCATTGGGGCATGAAAAGTGGACAACATGAAGGCCACTAGTGGCAGTTCTTAAACCATATAGGGATGTGATAGAACACTAATGCCATTTTGGGACAGGTCATCCCCTTGTTCATCCACCCAATGAACAAAATGAAAACAGAGCAGTTGTACCTGGCGGCACATTCCAGATGAGTAGGAAGGAAGTGAAATAACAGGGAAGGAGTACAGATAAGACATAGGGATGAACATCATGTACATATAACAGATACGTTCTGTGAAAGAGAAGAAACAGACTGATTTAGGAGAGACAGCTCAGTTTGGGACTATCTGCTCCCGGAACTAGACATATATAGTCTTAAGTGTCGTTTTGAGCATTAAGCATTTCCAGAGTCCAAGTTAGCCAATTTTAATATAGAATATCTAATGTGACACCTATAAACTTGAGCCTTGGAATCAAGGTATATTCTTTCACACTAGCCCAGGGGTAGGCAACCTTCATTATGGGAGAGCATTATGGGAGATGTTGTACACAACATCTGTAGTGCCAAGCCTTTAAACAACCCCTTACCTAGCATTTAAACTGCGCAATATTTTAGCTGCTATCGCATTGCCGTACAAAGATAGGCACATTTTTGTGTTATTATAGTTTGTCCAAATTATTTTTCCCAAAACCATAATATGTATGAAATTAATCCTAACTGAAGCATCATATGTAGAAAACTAGGTTCGTCCAAACCAAAAAAAGTTTTGACTAATCATATTTTTTGTCTATTCAAAAGCTCACATCAAACTAACTTGCTTGTAAATTATAGGCATATGTCTAGCGTGGTAAATTAAAAAAAAAGAGCAAAAAAATGTAATAAAATGAAATAAATGAATAAAAAATCTACAGTAATCTGACGAAAGCTGGAATTGAATGTACTTTTCTTTTAAATAGCATCTTTAACTGTATGTCACATATTTTCTGATTTTATCGAATAGGATACAGTCGGAAATGTATGCTGGACTTCACCCAAAACTTGCCAGCCAATGGCACATGATTTTAATTAAGCTCAACGAGAAAGTTAGTTCAAGAAATGTGACTTTGTTCTGTACAAAGTAAGAACATACATAACCCTGCAAAATCCAAACTCAGTAGGTCCCATCTGGGAGCAGAAATGTCATGATTTAGTAAACTCTTGCAGCCAGTCTATAAAGCAGGCAGTTTCCCCTTAGCACACAGTACTTCTAGGTTTTATGTCAAAATTAAAGCCAAAAATATAAAAAAGGGAAATGTCAGCAAAATAAAATTGGTGACACTGTTAAAAAGGTGAACTCTGATAGCTGCAATTGGAATAAAAGTTAATGGTGATCTTTGCTGAAATTAGTATTGATGAAAGTGGCTTTTTATTAGACCTGAACATTTTTCCCATTAATCAATAGAAAATTAAACACTGTCCTCTTTTATTTAATAATATCTGACAGCTTTTTCAGATGTTTAGACATGTCTTTTTGATAATGTTTGACAATCTCAGAATTCCCCATGCATTACTATTGTAATGAAACATGTATTTTAACCTGTGCTACCAAGACAAAGCATTATTTGTGCTTCTTTGGACTGACCATCGATGGAGAGAGACAGTCGTCTAAATGGATATTTGGTAGAAACCTATTTAAGTTGTTTCAGGAGAAGAGACCCCCAGCTATAAAGTCTAACACCTAGTAGATACATTGAAGTAATTTCAAATGAAAGAAGACGAAATACAGCATATTAATGACCAAAACGAAAGCCATTAAGAAGTACTGGATCACAAGGAAGGTGACGGTGATCTGCACCCACTAGAGGGGCAGACTGCATTCTCACTCACTGTACATTGAGCTCACTTACAGACATTGAGCTATTTTGGTCCTTTTACCAGTCATGGGAGTGCAGGGTGATTTTGACAGTCTTATTAGTTAATTTCTATTTATTATTTTATTGAGTTCTTGTCTAGAAATGTTCAATAGAAAAAAAAGTATAAGGTCCTAGGGAAAAAAACAGCAGAAAAAAGAGATTGTTCTTTCCTTGATTCATGTGGAACCACAAATTGGACAGAGCCAAATACTGTTCCCTTTGTTCAAAGATGTCAGACTTGACTTTTGGACCAGGCAGTGAGCCATCAGCCCCGAACCTAGGATTTGGCAGTTAGGTATGTCTATAAATTGTTAATTATTTTCTTAGTACAATACCAGTGGATTGTACCTTGCAGCTTTAAAGATAATCCATATCATTTATATATCCCATGATGTTCTCTTATATTTGAAGAGTCAATCATTCGTGATTTCAGCTTTTACAATTTCCTGCCACCATTGAGCTACCAGTATACAAAAAGATAATTTATGCTGGCACTCAATCACATAGGTGGTGCTGGTATTCGAGGTTATCCCTAAAAAAGCCCCATAAATATCATACAAAAAATATATATATATGAATACCGCACTCAATGTTGTAAAATAATCAACCGTAGGTAAAGAGGTGCTGTAATTGAATTTATTATTTTTTATTCTTCAATGTCTAGGTATATAACTTAATATGTGAGATTATGATTTGATCAAAAGAATATATTACATCATATAGTCAATCGCTATTTACAAAAATAACCTCCATAGGTATTATATAGATAAATAATCGATATATAAACACAGTTGTAGGTATTCCTGTTTGCAAATCTAAGGAAAACCTATCCATATGGATAATAGTTGAATCTGTGGTGTTCTATGTACATAGAAAAAAGAAAAAATGAAAAAAATGAAAAATGAAAGAAATATGAAAAAAATGAAAAAAATGAAGAAAAATTTTGAAAAATATAAAAAAGGAAAAAAAAAATAAATAGAAAAAAATAAATAAAGAGTATACATATAATAAATGTCCTGATGTACAATAATCCAGAGAATAGTGCACTTTAGATAATAAATAGGTGGATCTCACCAAATTGGATATCCAGATGGATTATAGCCTTAGTAGCAACTGGAAAGAATGAAGACTCTGTGAAGAATGGAGAAGTGTCTATTGGAGGGTTTTTTAAACCTGCTGAATTCCTGTTGTGCGCTGAAAAGAGGACTCAATAAAGGTGTCAGATGTGGTCCTCGTATGTCACCCTCAAAGTCGTTGCTGCTGTGTATCAGATCGGAGTTATCCGCAATGAGAGTGCCGTCACAGTACATGGGCTGCGCGCTCGGGACATCCACGTCCCTTCGTAGGCCCCTGCAATCTGTCGGAGAAATAAAATCATTTATATATCCTATCTTTGGCGGCAAAATCTTGCCGTGACCTGTAGTCCTCCCCCACTTCCGGGTTTCGGCGGCTGTGTACGTGCGTATTTGCGTCATCACATTCAAATGTATCTTTATTGTCCATATGAAACTGCACGCGAACAAAGAGTGTAAATGAAAAGTCAATGCTTGATTGGTAAAATCAACCTAAGACCCGTAATGAGAAGGACCCTAAAATAATATTATTAATAACCATAATATATTTATATATATTTTAAGTATTAGACTGTGACAGACCATGAATAGTAAATAGTTAATAGTTAACAAAAGATTTAATAATCAATGAGCTAGATAAGAGGTAGCACCACCTGGGGGAAAAAAGTCATAAATAGATTGAATGATATATCTATAATAAATATATCATAAATTATGTATCCTCATAATGCTGGAAAGTACTAATGACTAAACAGTACCAAAATAAAGAACAGCATAGAAAGGAGTACTCCTAATGGGGACAATATATAAATGCTTATGTTAAGATATCTTAGCTGCTAATGTAAAGGAACCTATAGACATATGTATATGGATAATTGAAAATAGAAATATTCATCTTATATCAAAAATGATTTAAAGAGACAATTTTTAAATTAGAAAAAATATAATTAGAACATTTTTGAAAATTTTTGAAAAATGGAGAAAAAATGGAGAAAAAAAAAAAATATGAAAAAAATGAAAAAATAGAAAAAAATATATAGAAAAAAAATAGAAAAAAAATAGAAAAAAATAGAAAAAATTTACATATATCTACATGTAACACTCTACACATGTAACTCACCGGTCATGTAATAGCTCTCAGTGATCCTGGGCTGTGCATGTGAGGGACCCTGCTGTATACACAGGTGGCGGACCCAGATGAGTCATAGGACAGCGATCCAGAGCGACGGACCAATAATGGTCTAGAGAGGAAACTGTAAGGAGCGCAAAAGGGGGTAAAGAAAACCAACATGAGCCAATAATGTGCATAGTGAACCATTTCACAGAAAATGTTTCAGGTCATAATCCTCATTGAGACCTAATGGTGACAACGTTTCCAAGGTACTAATCCATTTGGTTTCCCTTTGGAGTAAGAGTTTCTGTCTGTCTCCACCTCTGCGTAATGGTGGAATTCTATCTATAACTTGGAACCTTAATTGGTTCACATTATGGCCACAAGTTTTAAAGTGTCTTGGTACTGGTGCTTCAACTGCATCATGCTGTAATGCTGCCCTAATGCTCCTTTTATGTTCCCCTATCCGTTCTTTGACCGGCCAGATAGTCTCTCCCACATACAGGAGACCACACGGACACTTGAGTATATACACAACAAAATCTGAGTTACAAGTGTAGAAGTCCTTCACAAAAAACTTTTTACCAGATCGGGGGTGAACGAAATATTCCCCCTTGATCACACTGCTACAATGTGAGCAATTAAGGCAAGGGAAAGTGCCTTTCTTTGGTTCCGAAAAAAATCTGACTTGTTTTTTGGAACTACCTATATCTGATTTGACCAAAAGGTCTCTCAAATTAGGAGCCCTCTTGTATGAAAATAATGGAGGATGTTGGAATATCGACGGTAGTTGAGAGTCACCCTCAAATAGTCGCCAATGTTTGAGTATTACTTGTCGAATGTCCCTATTTAACGGGGTAAATGGTGTTACAAATGTTAACCTCTCTAATTTCCTATCTGTTCCTGTCCCTACTAAGGTTTCCTGTCGGGTCAGTTTTCCAATTTTTTGTCGTTGGCTCTCTACTATCTGTACGGGATAACCCCTCTCTCTGAATTTGTTGGCCATGAAGTCCAATCCAGATATGACTTTCTCCTCTTGCGAAACTATTCGTCTCACTCTTAGTAGTTGACTGAAAGGTAGACCATTCTTTAGATGCATGGGGTGAAAACTGGCATATGTCAATAAGTTGTTCCGATCAGTTGGTTTTATGTATAAATCACTGTGTAAAGAGTTGTTCACCCTCTGTACCAGGACATCTAAAAAGGGAACCGAATTCATGTCACAGTACATTGTGAATTTGATGTTAGGGTCTTGTGTGTTCAAGGCCTCATAGAAGTCTTGTAATTGGGCCCTCGTGCCGCTCCAGCATATGAAAACATCATCTATATATCTTTTCCAAATTACGCATTTCGCGAATAGACTATGTGAATAGATACTCGTCTCTTCCAAACGGTTCATGTAGATGTTTGCATATGTTGGAGCGACATTTGAGCCCATGGCAGTTCCTTTGATCTGTTTGTAATATTTGTCTCTAAAGAGGAAATAGTTCTCTGTTAATATGAAGGTAAGTAACTCCCTAATATACTTTCTAGTGTCATTCTGTTGAATGAGAAGGGGATCCTTGTCTAGCGTCCAGTCAACTGCCTCTATTCCTCTATTATGATCTATGGACGTATATAGTGACTGTACATCCATGGTAACTAACCAGAATTCACCTGGCGGGATCTGTATATCGACTAGTAGTTTGAGGAAAGTGGTAGTATCTTTGAGGTATGATTTCTGGGACGGAACGTATTTAATCAAAAATTTGTCTAATATCTCTGCTGGATGTTGAAAAATAGAACCAGTCCCACTAACTATGGGTCTCCCTGGAGGGAAGAGTGGATTTTTATGGATCTTTGGGAGAGTATAAAAAACTGGAATCCTAGGGTATTTAAGGTTCATGTATCTGTATTCTCCGTCTGAAATGATGCCTCTCGATAATGCCCATTGATTGAGCCTATCTAACATGGATTTAAGGTTGTGTGTGGGGTCCTGATTGATGGCCAGATAGTTGGAGTTATCCCTTAGTTGTGTCTCAATCTCTCCCACGTAATAAATACGATCCATAATCACCAATGCTCCTCCCTTATCTGCTGGTTTCATAATGATAGATGTGTCTTTTTTTAAATTATTGATATGAGCCCAATCCTGTTTAGTGAAATTTACAGTCTGTTGTCTGTGTTTATGTCTATGTTGGTGTTTCCTCCTCAATTTATATACATCCTTTTTCACAAGGTTGGTAAATAAATCAATTGATGCATTAACATTGTGTGGTGTAAAAGTGCTTTTAGGTTTCAAACTTGTCTCAAGCGATAGGACCCCATCAGGATCGTTCTGTGAAATGTTTTGTCCCACCATAATTTCTTCCACTGGTTGGGTCCCCTGTATGTGTTGAGTACTCATACTGCTAAAAGAAGCTGTCGTATGTTCTGTGGAAAAAAATGCACGTAATTTGAGTTGTCTGAAAAATTTATATAAACTCACATCATAGTGGTGCCATTCTATATTAGGTGTAGGAACAAAGGATAATCCCTTATTCAAGGTTACCTCTTCTGCGGGTGATAGTGGCCTACCTGAAATATTATGTATCAGAGATTGCGTCTGGATTGGGGTAGTCGGCCTTTCCTTTTCTCCCGTGAACCTCTTGTTGTAACCCCCCTCCTGATGTTTCTTCGAATCGTGTGCCTCTCTCTAAAAAAGTCACTCCTGATGATGAGGAGGCAGAGGAAGAAGATGTAACTCCTTCTGTGTCCGAACGCCATTTCTGTGAATTTATATCCCTATTGGGTCTATATGGTCTATTGTCTGTACCACGAATATACTTGATCTCGCTGATAGTCTAATTCGTCCCTATGAAATTTTCTCTTTTTAAACTCTTCTGTTTCTCTCTGGTATTCCTTCAATTTATCTTCTATCTGTTTTTTAAGAGTTTCAAGATCCGTTGAGGCTGTTACTGCTGCCAATTCTTGTTCGACTGTTGCTATCTCCTTAATTAGTTTAACTAGCTCTTTTTGTAAAGATTCAATAGTTAGTACCATAAGATCTACTGAGCATTTGTTTAAGATCTTGTACCACACAGTGCGATGTTCAAGGTTATCCCTGCATAGTGTAGGATGTAGTCTAACCCTTAATCCCCTTGGGATTCTTTTTTGTCTTAAATATTCACCAAGCGTGCTAATGTGTAATTCCCAGCTTAATTTTTTCTTTAAATCTCTCTCAAGTTTCTGTGCTATCCCCCGTTCGTTGTCACTTGTTAGGAACTCTCTGGCTCCTCTGAGGGCAGACGTAATGCGATTAATATCACCCTCCGTATAGGCAAAAGTTGCCATAAGTGGTAATCTCTATCTGTATATAGCTAGACGATATGTAATAAAAAAACTTGTATACTTAATAATTGTTAGTCATATGAAGGTGCTACAGCACTAGGGAAAAAATATATACAAAAAGATAATTTATGCTGGCACTCAATCACATAGGTGGTGCTGGTATTCGAGGTTATCCCTAAAAAAGCCCCATAAATATCATACAAAAAATATATATATATGAATACCGCACTCAATGTTGTAAAATAATCAACCGTAGGTAAAGAGGTGCTGTAATTGAATTTATTATTTTTTATTTTTTATTCTTCAATGTCTAGGTATATAACTTAATATGTGAGATTATGATTTGATCAAAAGAATATATTACATCATATAGTCAATCGCTATTTACAAAAATAACCTCCATAGGTATTACATAGATAAATAATCGATATATAAACACAGTTGTAGGTATTCCTGTTTGCAAATCTAAGGAAAACCTATCCATATGGATAATAGTTGAATCTGTGGTGTTCTATGTACATAGAAAAAAGAAAAAATGAAAAAAATGAAAAAAGAAATATGAAAAAAATGAAAAAAATGAAGAAAAATTTGGAAAAATATAAAAAAGGAAAAAAAAACTCTTTACACAGTGATTTATACATAAAACCAACTGATCGGAACAACTTATTGACATATGCCAGTTTTCACCCCATGCATCTAAAAAATGGTCTACCTTTCAGTCAACTACTAAGAGTGAGACGAATAGTTTCGCAAGAGGAGAAAGTCATATCTAGATTGGACTTCATGGCCAACAAATTCAGAGAGAGGGGTTATCCCGTACAGATAGTAGAGAGCCAACGACAAAAAATTGGAAAACTGAC